TTTTTTTTTTTTTTATTAGCTGTACAGCCGATTGTAGCAAGTGTATTGCTCTCGACACTGCAGTGCAAAACGATCATCACAATAACCAAAGCCTATAAATGTTTTAAAGTAGTATCTTGATTTATGTTCAAAGTGTCGAGAAAATAAACAAAACTTCACTTGTTCAAACTTGAGTCGGTGGTGATAACAGTGCATGTAAATGTCCTTGACGGAAAACAACGATTTTGGAAAAAAAAAAATGAAAGACACGAATCTCAAAAACGCATATAAAGACCCTCCCTTTATTTGAAAAAACTAATAGTAAGTACCAAGAGTTCTGGTCTGATTATTCCGACGACGCGCTCTCTACCGTGCGGTGCCTATTTTTATCGATTCGCCGCGAATGAAAGGAGAAGACCGTGAACTCGGGACGATGCGAAAAATGCAAGTGTTTTTCTCGCGATCGAGACACAGAGACACAGTAGCAGCGGCGACGACATCGTTTTTTAAAAGCTCGTATCGGCTTCTTCGCGACCGGCAGCATCAGTATATAGCTGACATCCAAATACTTAGAGAGAAAGAGAGAGAGAGGGTATTCTGACCCTCTTGTTCTCTTGGATGCAGCAAAAGAAGGAAAGGAAGAAGGAAGGAATCGACGAGGAAAATAAAAGGTCTGCCCTGTCGGCTACACGAAGCACAAGAAAAAAAGAAGAAGAAGAACGAAGCAGGGCATGTAGTATAGTAGCAGCTCGGAAGTAAGTAAGTAGAGGAACACGAGAGAGAGGAGGCCGTTAACGGCATTTCCTGCGTTACCAACTGGAGTTCACGGTCAGACGAGAGAGCGAGAAAGAGTATGGCACACCAGTCGGCGAGGAGGAGAAAACGACCTTGAGCTCGTATTTCCCGCGGCCGACAGATCGCGTCGTAATCGCAATGAGTTAACATGTGGCCTCGAAAAGTCGGTGACTCCGAGAGACAGAGAGAGAGCAAAGCCGCTGATATGCGACGTTGCCGCTCCGGTGTATACGCTAGATACATGTTCTCGCCCTCTTCTTCTTCTTCTACTTTTTTTCTTCTTCGTTCCTCCGAAAGCGAAACGCTACAGGTACGTACATTCGGAGCTCTCTCCTCCGGATCCTCTTTCATTTCGCGCACAAATCCACACAAGCGCTACTCATACTTCCTTCCTCTCTCGGTTCTCTGCAACTGCTCTCGTTTTCTCCAGTCACTACATCAGGCCGTTTCGTGCTTCCCCTTCATGATTTCTCATCCATCAGGAAGGAAAAGCCACCTTTCTTCACCCGTTTCCATAATTTCCCCCTCCGTGAAGTTGTACTTCAGGTGATGCGCGAACTCAACTTCAAAAAAAGGATGTTGGGCTATTTCGCGTTTTCCCCTCTCGCGCGCACATTCGTTCACTTTTGCTTGAAAAGTTCGAGCCGCGAGTGGGGAGGGGTTCGTTGAACCGAGGGCGACCTTACCCTCCCGGGGGGACACTCTCGCTCGAGAGCGTGTTTTATACACTCGTGTGCTTGCGTGATTAATAATACGTTTGGTCGCGGGCATGAAGAAAAACAAAGAAGAAAAACAAAAAAAACAATGTCATCGTTGCTTACCCGAATACCAGCCTTCTGAAGAATCTGACATTTGTCGAGTTTGGCGCGAGTGTTCATATCCTCGGGAAACATATAGGTGAGCAGCTCGTAGATCTCCTCGATGTAGTGGTTCTCCGTTTCCCGGCGCTTCTTCTCATTAAGGCACTTGTTGCTGCGACAGAAAACGGAAGGAAAAACAAATCATAACAGCAGTACTGCTGATACACAATGATGGCGATTCATTGCATGGGTGCATTATAATCGGGGCATCGCAAGGGATGACACTGGATAACTGAGGGCCATCGCGCGCAGCAGCTGTTGGGGGAAGGAGGCCGGGGGAAAAAAGCGGACAGTGTCCTCCTCTCGCTTTACCATTCTTTGGAAGAGCGGAAAAAAAAAAAAAAAAAAACTGCTCGAAAAGGTGAGATGCTGGAAATTAAAAACAACTGATTAAAAAAGATTCAAAAAAAAAAAAAAAAAAAAGAAACAAACAAAATAAAAGTAAGCCAAGCGCAAGGGGGAACTACTGAAAGTCGCGTGGCGCATTCCCACAGATAGATCCATAAGAAAGCGAGAACGAAAAGTGAGTGAGAAAGGAGAGGCTTATCTTATCTCGCGCGCGCGGTCCGCTCCTCCTTCATTCCCGTCATTACTCCGCTTGTTATACTGCTGTTGCTGCTCCGTGGCGTCGCCGAAGCGCAGAGAATGCACGTTTCATTCACGCGAATGCGCGCGAGCGTCTCTCTCTCTCTCTACTCTCGCTCTTTCTCTTCGGACAGCGGTGCTTTCTAGGCAGCCGTGTACACGTATACGTATACCGGTACATGTATACCGATCAAGTTGCCGAAAATAAGCGTGCGGTAGCGCGAGATGCCGCGACAGTTGGGTATATAGCCGCGACGACGAGCTGCTTTTGCGAGATATTTGCCTTTACGGTGTGGAACGCCGAGACTTAAATCGAGGACTGTTGCACGCTCGAGGATCTGGTTTATTTCCGTGTACGGTTTTTTGCCGATTTCGATCTTTTTTTTTTTTTTTTTTTTTTCCGCGCGAAAACAACATTTTAAACCTCGCCGTGAATTCGGCAGGCTATTAACATCGGATAAAGTGCATTCTTCGCTTTTGACACGACAGAGAGTGTATTTATACGCGCTGAACTGTACATGCCCATACCCAAGGAATTTGAGAAATCCGACAAGTACGTATACGTACAATATAATATGTGTGTGTACACTCATCGATACCGATCTCTATTTTCTTTAGACTTGCATGGGCAAACAAATTATCTCCGTCGCACGCAAGTGTACGTGTGTTTGTGTTGACTTTGCGCGCAAACGTTATAAGCCTTTCTCAAATAAAAATTGCAAAGATATTTAATGACGACTCGAAGGTATTGAGAGCAGGTTATAAAACACTCAAACCAGAGAAACACCCATGTATGTATATATTATGAAGAATTTATGTAATTCAATTTGTAATAATTGTTGTTTGAATATGAGGAGGTAATAACGTATACGTATAATCTTGTGTACGATTAGTTAAGGGATCTACGTATATAAATGATAATTGATGCGATTGCGGTTGTCATAGTACAAACAAATAAGTAGTCATTGTGGCAGTCGAAAAAAAAAGCATCGGACACTTATTTTTGAGGACATCACACGTATTTATAAATATTATTCAATACAAACTTTGCACTATCTCTTTTTGTGGTTTTTTTACGAATAAAATTTAAATTATTACAAATTCAAACAGACAACGTGTCTTTACCTGCAATTATAACTTTATAAATAAATCATATACGTTACCATAAACGTGGTCACTGTCAGCGCGATTTTAATTCGAGAAAATTTTGTTCTTATCCATCAGGTATACGGTTGCTGTTTCTATGAAGACATGCAAATGAATGACAGAAAAGTGACTTCGAAAAGAAAAAAAAATGTTCAAAATAATTTTGAGTGAACTCAATTGCTTATAATTAAGGTAAGTAAAATGATGAAATTTAATGCATTACGTAAGATCGAAGTAATTAATGCTTTTAATTACGAAAACTGTATTGACATAAGTTGTGCAACATTTGTACAACACTTGTTGATAAAAAAATAATTGAAAATCGCAAGAAAATTAGCAGACACTTGTATTCAAATTCTTTAAAAGTATGAAATATACTTGTCTCTATGGAAACTTTTACGAAGGACCATTGCCTGACCCGAAATAGCTATCGGTACATGAAAATCATTGCATGCTGCACCTTATTCCAAAAAAAAAAATAGTTAATCTTATTTTGGACAAAACTCTTTAGCTGATCTAATTATTAGGATTTATTTGGATGTCATTTATTTGGATTTATTTCAAGCTGATGTGGTAGGAAATAATTTAAGAAAATTGTTTTTCTGTTTAGATTTCGAATGACTAGAATAATCATTTTCGACAAAGATGCAGTTTTTTTTGTTTATTTATGACATCAACTGCTAGTAAAAACAATCAAGTTAGTAAAAAGTTTGTTAAAAATAATTTTCTTTACTATTATTACCTCCTCCGAGAACGGACCACGTATACATAAGTTGAAATTTACTTTTTTCTTTAAAATCACTATCATTGACGGTTCAAATTATTTTGGAACGGTAGGAAATAGATGTTTCAAACTCAACGCAGCCTCAAAGAATTAAAAAAGCTATTTAATGGCTAAATAATTACCATAGTATTATCAAACATCCAATAATGTAAAATCTAATAATAATACATCGATTGACGCTGGTACGTATGCTATTTTAATGCTGAAGTAATTTGGTAATAATGACGGAAATCATGATATTTTAATGAACAAAAGATTAAAAAAAAAAAATTCAAGGAAAACTGATTTCATCAGATTCCTCACGCTGGAGTGTTAATACGCTCACGTTTTGAGATAGAATTTCAACAAAATCAAACACATTGGAAATATATTTAAATACTCACATTTGCGATTGAGACTTGGCATCTGATTTCTTTCTCTTTTTCGTGTTGTTGCCACTTATTCCGCTCATATTGGCCCAGTTGTATGGGTCATCACCCAGTTTATATGGGCCAGGCCTGGAATGACAAAAAATAAAACATGTTAATACAGTAAATATTATTTAAAGCACGAGAAACTCATGAAATCTTAAAAATATATATCAAAAAAGAATAGGTATTTTTTGTTTGTGATATTTTATGACAAATTTTAGAATAAAATTTTACCTTAAAAGTGATTTAAATAAAAAAAGTCTGCAGTAATATTATACAAACAAAATCACTAGAGACATCTGATTTTTTTTTTTTTATTTAAAAATGAGTAATTTTTCTCCTATAACTTTTATTTTTTTACCATTTAATTATATTTACAACAAAAAATACTTCAAGTAGTTTTATTTACTTAACAAATTATTATTTTACAAAATATGTGACTTTAAATATTCATTGCCTGAGGGTACCTTTCGTACCAACTGTATAAAACAAAGACCAGTCAAAGACATAAAATTATCTTAAATTTCTTAGTCTTGTAACCATCGAAATAATGCGTTTAAATATTTTTTTTTTTCTTTAATTAAATAATCCATAGGTATTATTTTTTGTAAGAGTTGTAAGATACCATGTCTACTCAAAATACTATGGTTAGGTATATTTTTTTTTTCGTTTACAAATGGAGAAGAATTTCCGAGCCAAAAAGACCCGAAGATTCTTCTTTCCTATGCACGATCAAGTCCATGTGTGCGGCACAGCAGAAAAAGAGAAAGAGTTTCGGACGAGTTCATGCCGACCGCCAGCGATTTACTACCCGCAATAAAAATCGGCCTAACCCGTCCGTCGGAGATTTTTTTATACAAATTAATGCGACGGTATCTTCGATCCAACGATTCATTCCAACCATTCGCTTCACTTTACGTACACCCAAATACAATGTTCTCATTATCTACACTGTTTTCTTTTTTCGGTATTTTGAATTTTCCTTATTTTTTTCCACTCTATGCGCTTGCCGACTCTTGGACGACAACAGCTGGAAGAACCGTTCCATCAGATTCCCCTTTTCCTCCGCATATACGCCAAATCATTTGAATAAGAACCCCGAGACTTGGGACACACGGCTATACGGCGACGACACACTCTTATCTTGTCGGAGTTTTATTTTGTTTTTTTTTTTTAATTCACCAGGGATGGGGTTATATTATTTAAAATTTAAATGGCACGCTCGTGACTTTATTAAAGGTAAAACACGGTGACGTTAATGAGCGATTTCGCTACGAGGTACAAGTTTTGGGGTACTATCCAGGCAGCAGAGGAAATAATTAGCCCAAAGTTATACCTACGTTGGCGGAGACAATGCTCGCCCATTACGCGACTAAATTATACACTACTGCTTCTAGGCTTCTGCTTTTTTCGCTTTATCGATGATCGCCGGCAACAGCTGGGTCGAAGATTTTTTTTAACGAGCAGTCTGTGGCTGCTCCATACACACGATACCACCGTGATATTCGTGTTTTCGTTGCTGTCGTAATTATTGTAATCAAGTATATCACCGGACGACTCCGTTGTATCATTTATTCGGTTTTAATACTACTACTGGTAAATAATTATAAATTAAATTAATACAGGTAAAATCGATCCTTGGATTAAAAATTATTCGTTGGAAGCAAATACAGGGATTTTTATTATGAAAAATGTCAAGATTGGCCATTATAACAGGTAAGATTTCGTATTTGACGAAACAAATCTATGTACGGAAAGATCAAACTATAATACTCTTACTTGACGACCAAAGAAAATTTTGCTAGTTTTCTTGAGAAAAAAATGATTAAAAAGGTGAGTACGAGGCGTGATGAAAGCAAAATTGCAAACGAGTTTGCGTGTTAATTTAGATGAACAGAGTTATCGACTTCGAGTCGATCGCAACGTCAGCAAAATAATCATCGGCGAGGAGAGAAATATGCAATCTCCGGATCGTGAATTTTGATTGGATTTCAGGTTTTTTTAGCGCAGAAATAAAGTGATTTTAAAAAAACCCAAGCTGCGTCCGAATTCCTGCCAATTTCAGACTTTCTTTTAATCCTACACGAATTATTATCACGCCATTCGTTTAATTAATTAAGTGGCATAACTTCATTTTTACGATGTTTTTTACGAATTTCTCGAAAAACCCAAATTTCTAAAGAATGTATAACTTAAAAAATTCAGTCCTTCGAAGTTTACTAAGTTTAGAAATTAAAAAAAGAACGGTTTTCGTAATAAAAAAAACTAAATGTCAATACTATTGACTTCGGTAAACTTCGAAGTCTCACGAATATTCAGTTCCACCACTGAATTCCACGCATAAAATAATTATCTAGTATACATTAGCCAGTTTTTCAGAGCACACAGTTAACGAAACGTCATCTGATAAAATACGACCGATAAACATCGTATCAATGCGTGTATATATATTAACACATTTCAGCACATTAAAGTAAGTAGGTTAACCTCAAAGCTTTTCCAGATAAATCACAGCAATTAATTGTAACTTCCTAATTTTCGTGCTTAATATATATTTATACTCTAGTTTTATAAGAAACGATTCATAAGGTTTGTGCAGATAAAACTTCTTCCGGATCTTTAATTTCATATCTTAACATCACAACATTTCTCCACCTAAAATTAATTTGTCATTACATTTGTACTAATGTTTTACTGAACAAATTTCTTACTATAAAAAAATAGGGACAAATTTTGTGTAATAAACTTTAATTCACAAAAATGGTCTACTACAGTGTCAAATAGTTTTAAATAGTAAATGAAAAAACTACAAATTATGCATCAGCTGTATAAAAACAATGTGTATATTAGGATAATAAATAATACAGTAACTTCAAAGTTAAAAAAAATAATAACAGTTTTTTTTTACCAACAGAGCTTCAATAGTTAAAAATAAAAATCTGAAAATCGACAATGATTTTTAAAGTGACCGATTAAACCTCCAAATTACGGGTGAATGCTGTACATATTTTTCATTTTAAAAACGAAGGAAACACAAAAAAAACATTTTTTTACTTTACTATTGTCTTCAATATCAAACATGGAATTACTATTAATAACATACTGAAAACAGCCGATAAGAATCCGTTTACTTGCTAAAACGTGAAACGTGTTTTCAACAATATCAATAATGTTTCAATATCAGTCACTGTGAAATTTCCTGTGGAAACAAAAGCGCAACAATATGTTTGATGTCGGAACTTGTCGAAAAGTCAATCTCGTAAAATCCAAACATCCATAGTACTACCCTTCCGTGTAGCGCTTCAATGGACAATATAAAATTTTATCCGCCAAATGAAGCGAACGACTCGTGTATATGTAAATTCAGGAAAGAGGGAAAAAAACTCAAACAGGCAAGAGAAAAGCTCTCGTATGGGTGCGGATGATCCAAGCAGTGGTTTTGGTTTATATGACACGCGGAAGGAGGAATAAAGTATGCACTTTTTCAAACCATCTGATAGAGCGCTTCTTTCGATCAACAGCTATCATATTTATCGCCCATCCACCATCTCTTTTCTTTTGATTCACCATACCTTGAAAGAGAATTGTATATTAAAATCACCCACACAGAAGATGATTGTACAATTTAAATATAAAAACAACACTTTTGTTCAATTGTAGATCTTGTTTTGAAAAATGTATAACTAAAAAAAAAAATTAAAGTCGCACGTTTTACTTGTTTTATTGTTTCGACTGACTTCATAACTCGTGACGTTTGTCTGCCTGTCCACGGTAGCTTTCATAAAATCGAAGCTCGACAAATACAAGCTAAAATTAAATTCGCACGCGTGAAAAGAATATAATCTGCCCACAACTTATTTTACTCAGGACGAGGGAGGGCAAGTATAAATTCATCACAATAATGATCGTCAATGGACTCCTGTATCCCTATCTCTCTTTCTCTCTCGTGGTATGTATTACAGCAAAGATCGCTACCGACAGCCCATAAAATCTGCGAGTCCCACAAAAGTTGCAAGTTTACGTACTGTGCACATCATATAATACCGTAATATGTATGCACAAGTGACCGGCAAGCGCATTAACATAATAAAACAAGAAGAAGACGCCCGAGCGAACCTATGACGGGTGTGTACAAGGGCTCTAACGAAGCAAGCCTTCCTCGTGATGCGTACGCCGATGATTACGAGGCGGCGGGCCCGGAAATGACGCCAATAAAAAAGTCAGAGGAGATTCGAGGATCGAGATTGCACTGACTCGCGGGCACCAGCGCTGCTAGAAAGAGAAAGAGGGACAAGGCAGCAAAGGCAAACAGAGCCTCGCTCGACTTTTTATACGAGGCTGCAGCACCACGTCGCTACACCAATAAGCGCGCCATCGAATAGTTTCACGGCTGCATTAGCTCGGTATCGAGAGAGTCAGAGATGATGGCGCATTTTTTTTTTTCCACGATAAATCATCGGCGAGCAAAAAATTTACGAGCCTGCCCGCCTCTTTTGTACATCTTATTATCATTATTACGACCAATACGGCTAACTGTGCGTATAACATACAGGTGGTACAGCGTATAAAAATCACACAACGCGACAAAGGGCGCTCCGGCGCGAATTATTTTGTTTTAAAAGCGGTGACTCGCGGTTTTATGCTTCTCCGCACAGTTTGTACGTATATCCTTATATTTTGTTTCAAAGCCGATTGCGTCCGATGTTCCCAAAGATTGTCCCGACTGTCGTTGACGGCGGGCCCGCGAAAGGGATTGTTTTATTGCGCACGTTTTTATGATGTAAATGAAGCCGGGCTTCCCCGAATCGTAATTACCTCCAAAAAAAACAAAAAAAAAAACGGCCGTTCTATAAAGTTTGCCTCCTTCTTTGCTCCGCTCTCCTCGATCTAGTCCTGAGCGTGTGTGTATATATATTTACGCGCCAGAGACAACAAACCGGTTATTCTTTCTCCGCAAAGGTTCTCTCTCCCTCTAAGCCGAGCTGATCTATGCGCGCGGCGTTGTTATTTCGGATTATTATGCGCCGCGTACGGCTGTTTCCATACTTATCCCTTGGATCTATCTTGCGAGCGTTATCGTCCAAGAG